TTGTTACCATGGTTACGAGGTGAGAAAATAGCCTAAAAGGTTCTAAAGTAACAGACTACCTAATTTCCTACTTCGCCTGCGTTTTGTAGACCTTGACTTTCTCAATGAATCAAGCACATTTTCTCCACTTCTTAATAATTGAAACATTAAAGTTTTATTCACAATGTCCATTCACATGATTTAAGGTCTTCATGTATGCTGATACCCTATTAGACTAACTAAAATATTTTTTTGTTACCTCCTTTTTATCGTGCATTCGAACAATCATTCCATTTTATTTTAACATATATTTTACATAATAACCTTTTTTAAAAAAATACTTCTTATGAAAACATAATTTATTATACAGTTTATGCAGTCTATCGCTAAACATTTCAGACATATTTCCTTAATTTGGCTACCCTAAAATAGGCTTCTTATTATCTGTCTTTAGAAGATTCTCAAAATACTTTTATTTCTCAAGGTCATTGCCCAAAGCTGACTGTATAATTATTAACATAATGTAACCCATGGATCTTGACATGCTGTTTAGAATTTATATGCTACATTTATTTAGGTGCATGATTTTTCTTCTCTTTAGTAGTTATTTCCTGAACTTTATTTTTAAAAAAATACCTTAAAAATTAAACTGATATCCTGAAGCAACAGCATAGGTTGTAGAGGTTACAGCGAGCAACTGTATATCTCAGTGTTTATTTTCAATAACACATTCTTCCATTCTACACTTCTTAAATTATAATAAAGACTGGTCATACCATCGTGACTAATCATCATGCCATCACACTGGTCATGACTAATCATGGCCGTTTTATATTTGCCAATTTGCCATGATAATGAATATCATGGTGAATCTAGCTTGGATGATAATAAATACCATTATCGTTTTTTTTTTTACTTTGCTATATTTTTGCATATTTGGGACTAGTATTTTCTATTTATAAATTATTCAATATATTACGCCTAAAAGATGTTTTTTTTATTTATTATTTTTTTTTATTTTATTTTATGTGTTATTCAATTCAATAGCAATATCACAAAATAATTTTAAATGAACAGATCTTTAAAATTTCCGATACAAAGTTCGCACACTGGAGTTTTTTTTTTTTTTTTTGGGGGGGGGGGTCAGTGCTCGCTTTGAAATCTTTGAGTTCGTTAATCAAAACTTCGTTAAAGTTTTACAAAATATGAAATAGATAATAAACATATTTCGAAATTCCATATTTGGGCTTCCGAGTGCCCATATTCGGGTAGAGGATTACGTTATTCAAAATTTGATGGCTCTAGGTACCGTTGTTTTATCACAATGCTTCCGTTGTTTTATCACAATGCGAGAAGCATACATACATTTATGCAGCTTCTTCAATATTTAATTTAACTGTAAGACTTTTAGAATAAAGGTCAGTGGTTATCTCAGGCGGCGCTCAGTAGATATGATCGTTTAGATCAGTGGTCTTAAACTGACTGCCTGCAAGCCACATGAGGCCCCGAAACAATTTTGTACAACCCAAAATACATTTAAATTATTTATTTTTTTGCAAATTTGGTGTGGCAAAGATTTGAAGATTTTAATTATATGAAATCCGAATTTATGTTACTTTCATTGCCATTTAAAACGAACATAAATAGCTCACCAGAAAATCTACGTACTGAGCTAATTAATTTATAATGTGATATAAATCTTATTCAAAGATTTGAAGATAGAGATTTGATTAACTTTTATTTCGTACTTGTCAAAAAGTAAGTATTTAGGGTTACAAATTTTCGCACTAATAATATTTGCATTGTTTAGGAGTGTGTTTACAAATGAACAACGGCCTTTTTTCGTAGCTGAAAATTAATAAGAAAAGAGCCCGATTGACCGATGCGCATCTGAAATTCGTGACGAAGATAATATCTAGGAATTTTTCTCTAGTTCAAAGATATTATACAAACAAATTTTGCATTTACATACAAAATTTATCATGATTTACATAAAAACATATATATATCCTAATTTATATAGCGAAGAAAAATTTAATATATTAAAGAAAAAGACTGAAAAATCGTTATTTATTCTGAAGTTCTGTCCCTCTTTCTAGGTTTTTTTCTGAAAACTTAACAAAGTTTCATATAATTTAAAACAGAAGAGAAACATGCAAAGTGAAACTGTAGAGTCATTAGGTTTTCTTGATGCTAGAAACATGTAAAATGAGCAATGCCCTCGCCGGGGTCGGTTTTGGACCTCTGGAATACATTCCGAGTGTGTTACTGTTGCACCACGAAGGCATGCAGAAAGAAGGCGAAAATCCCCTTATAAAACAAGATCAATAAAGCAGCAGCCTGTGGTTGGTGTAGATTTAGTCAAGAGCTCAATCGATTTCAAGGGTAATCAGGGACAGGTCTCTCTTCATCAGAAACAACGGAAGGAGGAGCAGATTTTTGCTACCAATCGGCGTTTTCGAGAAGGTTCTTCAGTTTGTATCTTTTACCTGCTTGCGCCATTTCGGTTCTTGCTTTTCTGTTCCACGTGGCTGCTAGATTCTCTTTTCGGAAGTGGCCAGTCTTGCAGATTTCTTTGTACCCGATGAAGAGGGACCCGTACCTATTTCCTCTCGAAATTGATTCAGTTCCTGACTAAATCTACGTCAAATGCAAGGTTATTGCTTTGTTAATTTATACTTTCATAACTTGATTATTTTTAGCTTGTAGAGTCATTAGGATTTTTTTAGAGGCCAGTAAGATGAAAAATTAGCAAACGCCTTCGCCGGGAATCGAACCACGGACCTCTGAAATACCGGCTCAGTGTGCAGAACCACTACACCACGAAGGCTCGCTAGGAAAGTGGAAGAAATACCTTATATACTCCCCTTTTTAAAGGGCGACTAGGGTTTTAGGGGACCTAGTCGCCAAATCCTGGGTGCGGAGAATCATCATCCACAACCCTTTTAGTTCGGGCGCCACTTGTAGAGTCATTAGGATTTTTTTAGAGGCCAGTAAGATGAAAAATTAGCAAACGCCTTCGCCGGGAATCGAACCACGGATCTCTGAAATACCGGCTCAGTGTGCAGAACCACTACACCACGAAGGCTCGCTAGGAAAGTGGAAGAAATACCTTATAAGTTTAAATTAAAATAAGTCATTTATTGATTAATTAAATATATTACAATTATTTTTAATAATTGACAAATAAATATCCGTCTATAAATTTAATACTTAGCTGTCAACATATTAGAATTCGAACAAAGGTAGTGTTGCGACCAAAAAGTCTTACAGGTACCAACTTCATATTTCAAATAGGAACTTACTGTAAATTAGCATTTTTTTCCTTTGTGATATTTTTATTACTGTTTATATGTTTCGATAAAATTTAGTAAGGAAAATTTAAAATTTACTTTTAATTTTTTTTATTTTGTTAACAAAAAACTGCCATTTCATGTTGTTAGGGAAAAAAAAGTGTCTGGTTCGTCAGTTGTTCCCTGATCATGAACTCGTTCCACATACAATTTGAGTTTTTGAGACCACTGATTTAGATTACGAATCTTACGAAATTACGACTCTTACGAATGATAGATACATAAATTGAAAGAATTCTTTTATCCTAGTGGCAGTCGTATTGTAAAATAATAAGTAACTATGATTTCAGATGAAAATAACCGAGATATTAACAATAATAAACCAGATGCTGAAATTATGTCCAGATACTGGGAAACTTATCAAGCTTTTTCCTCCTCGTGTATAATTTTTCTAAGAAATAAATGGCATTATGTTCTCTCTGTATACAGTTTGCCAGTCTCTCAGACACCTGCTTGCTTTCATTCGGGCTAGAAATCATGAAATATTACTTATCTATTCCCTTAAAACGTTTCCATTTAATCCAATCCTTATATAATATAAGAATAATCTTTGAGATCCACTGTCAAAAAAATCTGCCGGGAAGTAAAAAATAAGCAAAATTTTTCCTCTTCATAGAAAAAGAGAGTGGGAAAGGGAGGATATTCACGCAATGTACCGAAGTGTCAAACCAAGGAAGAATCTTGGGCACCGTGACCCTTTAGCTCCATATTTAATAAATCTATTTTCACGCTCGGCTTAGCGTGACGGATAGAGGGGGAGGATAGAAAGAAGAGAAATGGAAAGGAAGAAAAGTGCACATCGAACCACAAAAATTTAGTGGAACGGAAATCCAGTATGGTCTATTCTTAACCGTATCTGCTCACTACCTTTGCTGGAGGAGGAGAATGAGCGAAGTCATTCGCCATAACTTCACTTGGTGGGTTTAACACTTTAATTTGTTTCCACTCTACGTGTGGTGAGTAACTTGTTTTCACTTTTAAGCTTCACAGAAGCCTTCATTCCCGCATTTTTCCCAAACTACGTGTTTTTGTTTCATACTTTCAACATATGTCTACCATGTTTTCTTGTGTGGTGTGTTTGAGCATAATTATGCTCAGTATTGCAGAGAGAGTAAATATTGCAGAGAGAAGGTAATATGGAACTCCTTTTTGAAGTTGAAGTCACCTTTTTTTTTTCCCTCCTGGAAGACAATGAAAATGAATAAAGTCACGTAGGATGCTGCATTTTTTCCCCATTTGTCTTGTCCAGAGTGCACGCACGAAAGTTACCAAGAAGCTAGCTTTCTAGCAATAAGTCTTCCCAGATTTTGTGGCGTATAGTTTTTAATGGCTTCGCAGTAATGAATGAAGTTGGTGCTGGAGCAGAAAAAGAATTATTTCTACCTTTTTGATTCGCTTATTCTATTTTTGAAACGCTTCTTAAACATTTGTAGTTTTGCATTCATTAGAAATCTGCGCCTAGTTTACTCACAGTCAATCATCTCCTCGATTAAAATGCGAAAAATTGCTGTCTCAGAAGAAGGATTTTTTTTTTTGGGGGGGGGAGCAGCTGTTGATTCAACGCTTCGTTGAATTTCAGCAAAATTCTTCTTTCGTCTTTATAAGAATTTTATTTTGAATTTGCTGCAAACATAATATTTTCATTATGTTTCCTTGTGTAATGTGTAGAAATTGGTGGACATAACTGTTAGAGGTGGCAGTTCCTATGCTGATGGGACGAATTTCGAATTCCTTTTAAATCATGGTAAACGTTGCGTCTACATGGAAAAGGGGCGCTCTCACTTCGGTTTGTTGGTGGCATGGAATGGTAAGCAGGAAGTCCTCAGAAATAGTTCGCTTCAAATAAGGATGATTCTAGAAAAAAAGAAAGTTACGATGTCTTCATCCAGTATTATTGACTTTAAGAAAATATTGAGCTTGGATAATTCACTTATCTGAAAACACTTTTTTAAATTGACGATGCGCTATGATATATTATAAGGTAATAACTGACTCTGACTGCGGCACCGAAGGCGCCAGGTTCGAATCACGGAGAAGGCATGGATGTTTGAAAACGTATAGTGCCTATGCAGCATGGAGGTACTCTAAATACGCGGCGAACTTAAGGTCCTCTGGAGTGGTTAGTGGTAGGGAAAGAGGTGTGGGAGAGCCTCGGACCCATCCCCCGGAGTGTTCTCTTTCAAAATTTGGCGGGCGGAACTGAGCTAAAGTCGGGCCGTCACCTATATAGTGCAAACGGGAAACAGATTTGTACATTTCTTTCAATGTTAAAGCCGTTCGAAAACTGTTTTAAATAGAATGGTTGTCCAATTATTCTGGGAAAAACAAAAAATGCGTGCTTTTAAGAAAAATAATATAAATTCTGGAGCTGAACTGATTTTTGGAAAATGTTTTCATTTTTGGGGGGGAGGGGGGAGAACAAATCTTAAATATTACTGAGCTTTTTTTTTTTTTTTTTTTTTTTTTTTTTTGCGAAGATTGGTTCAAATATACCACAATTTATCCGTCTTCAGCTTTGGGAAGACCGAGGCGAACCCCGTCCGTCATCAACTTCCTCCCATGAGCCCAGATTAGTCCTGTAAAGTCAGAGGTCGAGAAATAAAATGTGTCACGAGCAGCTTTGACACCCGTTATCTGCTTCTGTGTTCCAATCTCTACCCCTCACGAGGCACCCTATTAAACAAAGCAAGGGGACAGGGGGAGGAAGGATAGTAGTGGTGTCCAAAACTAAATGATGTAATACTCGGGTGTATATATATATATATATATATATGTGCCGTTCAGAGAGGAAGGCGGTGTTCAGTTTAAATGCCATCTGCGACGGGGATCTGTGGATGTATGAATAATACATGAGATCGTACAGTGGAGGGTTTGGGTGGTGGGATTCATGTGCATGTGTGTATGGAAAAAGGAACTCCGAGCGATAGCGTATATCGACGTCGATCTCGGTTAGGTCGTAAGGAAGAGTGTTTTTCCGTTCGGTTAAAGTTATGGGCAATCGCTGCCATATAAGCATAGTGTGGTTCTCCACACTCAAAATACGAGATCCTTGAATTGTAGTAATACCATTTTAAGACAAGCCTCTTTGCTTTCTCCTGCGATGGCTTGTACGTAAAAGTGTGTATTGCTTTTATGTTTCGTTCATGAAATCATTTCTGTTTAATCGCGGTAGCCAACAGCTATTTGGCTTTCTATAAGCCTTCCAATTTTATATTAAAAGAAAAACCTCTTCCAGTGAACAAATCATACATTTGTTGTTTAGTGTATTTCTCTAAGTCTGAAGGCTGCGGTAATTTTTAGTAATATCAAAGTAAAAGTGTGTGGGTAATGTTTGGCAATAGGCAATATTTCTTGCGTATCAATACAATTATTATAAACAGATCTTTCTTCCTGATTGAAACAAGTAACACATGAGGCTTTCGATTTCTTTGAAATTCTTTGGATATTGAGTAATTTGAACGTAAAAATGCTACCAAAAATTTTGTAGCATTTTTCCTTTTTCTGCAAATAAACATTCGCATACGGTATAACCCTGTTTTATACAAATCTCGCTTAACCACGCTATTTATTTAAGCCATTTCGGCTTTACGCAAATGGGGTAGTAAAATTACCGGGAATTTAGTATCAAATCCGGGTATTTCCAATATTGTTAATCTCCTTTTTTATTGTTTTATTCTTCGACGATAAATATTTTATTCTGAAAACTAGTGATTTCGCCATATCGTGTGAAAGTTAGAGGACTGCGAAATCGTTATCTAAGAGATGATTTTCTTGTATCCTAATTCACATACGATACCTGCCCACCCAAAGCTGCTGTTAACCGCTGAAAAAAAAGGAAAAAAAAAATTGAAACGGATAATTTTTCTAAATAACATAATTATATAACTGACAAACGAAATCGATAATAATTCTTTAATGCTTTTTTCATTTATTTCTGTATTTAACATCAAAATTCCATGGCTTACCCCAAAAGCTATGCCATCCGAAATGGCTTAGATTCCAGTTAGTTCGGATAAAAACCAATTAGTTCGGATGTTGAGCATTTATAGTAGAGCATTTTCTACAGACCGAGTGCAGTTTACCATTACTCATCACGCTTATAACGTATCCATACGCATTTATTTCGTTAGCAGTCATAGCTCACGAAAATTATAATTTGCAGGTGTCTTTATTTGCAAAAAATTACACAATTAAAAATAATCTGTGCAGAACTAGTGACAGTTTTAAAAGATTGTCTTAAGACTTTATTTCATTCTAAGATCTTAGACTGTTTTTATCAATGATATTACGTTACTAAACTGATTCTTTTTCTCTTTTACAGGTGTTTTAGCAGCCAGTTCGCCATCAGACGGCAATGATTTAGACGACTTGGGTGACGGTTTGGGTGCCGATGCTGATGGTCAGCTTAGTGAAAGGGACTCCAGCGTCGAAAGGGATGGCGGTGGTCACAATAGCCTCAATGGGGGCACTTCTACTGTCAGTAGTCCTACTGGGCCACCGCTACATATGCATACGACGCCGGGAAGTGTTGGGGGCCCTGCAAGTGGACCTAACCCAGCTTCTGCGGGCCCAAACGGGAACAACAGCAGTAGCGAAACCACGAATTCGTCCACTTCGGCGGCACAGAACGACGAGAATACTCCGGGGACTAAACGTAGAGGACCTCGCACCACCATAAAAGCCAAGCAACTTGAAACCCTTAAAGCTGCCTTCGCAGCTACACCAAAGCCAACAAGGCATATAAGGGAACAGCTTGCGCAGGAGACGGGTCTCAATATGAGGGTTATCCAGGTAAGCGTCACGTTTCAAATGATTCAATTTAGTACATTTAGTCCAAACTTGCAATAAATTTCTTTCTGCGTGGGAAAGCCTTCAAATGTATCTGATATATCTTGGTATATGATAATAATCTTGGAACTGTCCAAAGTTTTGATTGAATATTTGAAAGACCCCTCTTCAGAGTAAATAAGAAGCAAATTTTGCTTTATACTTTGTAAGTTTAGCCTAGTTTTAAAATGAAAAATAACAAAATAATTGAGCGACAAAATCTGGATTATCTAGTTTTGATTAATTAATATTTTAATCTCAAATTTGATTCATACTGCGTTTAGCATTAAATACTAAACTTATTCAAATGACTTACTCTTCGAAATAGCACAACTTTTCTTCTTAGAGCTATGTATACTTGAAAAATTCGAGTAAAGAATACTTTTTTTTTTTTTAATCATTCCCACAGAAGATCAATTGGCCTATAAAGCATATGAAATAATCTTAGAGGAATTATTCTGTTTTAGTAAACGATTAAGAGAATTAAAAAGACTCAAAAAAGATTCAAAAGTATGAAAAGAAATATCATAAATTTTTATTCAGGTTCCAAAATATTATTATTATTTATTATTGCAAAATTTTGCCACCCCCAAAAAGTGCCGCCCAGGGCCGGTCGTCTTTATCGCCTCGTCATTGAAGAAATAAGAATCCATAATTAAAAATTAACTAAAAACATTTACCGTCAAAGTATGGATTAAGTGTTAATAAAACTGGTGAAAAAGAATTAAGAACCCAACAAGCCTTATTTGTCTTATTTCCTGTTTAAGTGCATACCTTACAGGATTACAAAGTGTAAAATCTTAAAATCAACCTAGTAATACGTATTATTATTATTATAAAAACATAATCAGATTACTGAACTTTGAAACTTTATGTAATTGTAAATAAGTTGTTGCAGTTTTTATCTCAGTAGGGTTTCTGAAGAAAGAGTGTTACGTATAATTATTATAAAAAAATATTTCATTTTGTGCGGACGCGTCGGGAAATTGGAACAGAGAATTGAGACTATTAAAATTTTCCAAGACACTTTGTCTAAATTTAAAAAAAAATTTTTGTAGCGAAAAAGTTTCAATTGTCTGTTTCGGCGAAACGCGTAATTGGGTTAGCTTGATTCGACGTTCAAACAAATTTCCCTTGAAAAGTCAGTTTTGAAGTCGAGTTGGGCTAATTTACCATTTTCCGCTTACTTTTTTTTATCTGATTCTGTTTTTTATTGTTTTACATATTTAATGGTTTGATTTTCATAAGTATTAATTTTTTAAAACGTGTTGAACTTTTTGGAGCAACAGCTCCTGGTAACTTTTAGGCGAGCTTACTACAATTCTTATATTATAAAAAAATACGTATACTGCTGAATTTCGTCAAACCTTTACTATGCAATCATATCTTTTAGATCAGTAAATTCAGTTAACGGAATGCCCTTCATAGTTGAAATATTAAAGAATTCAAAAATTCTTTCAAGGACATAAGTCATTACGTCAGTATTATTAGCATCCTAAAAAACAATTTTATAATTATATGAAAGCATAAAATTTCTGTCAAAATAGTTGAGCTAATACTACAATTTATTGACTAAAAATAAACTATTAATATAAAAAAAGTCATAAACTATATTTACAGGAAATTACTTTATGCAGCTACGAATATTTTGCACACATTTTTCAAGCCAATCGAAACAGGACAGGAGTCCAGAGAGGTTGTCGTCTCAGACAGCTCACAATTCCGCAATTTTAATAACATAACTAATTTTTATTTCGTTTGAATTTAATTCTTCATTTTTAAGCTAGAAATATGTTTGGGTTGATTTACAAAACTAACTTTATAGTAATAACAATATTATGACATATTCCTTCTCGACAATTAATTTTTAATATTTTTTTATATTAAAATGAACCTCCTTTATTGTTGCAGCTTATGCAACATTACAGGAATGCAACATCTGCTTTACATTGCTTTAACATGTGCAAGATTTTGCACACATTGTTTCTAATGATCGTACTATGCATTATTCTTGGGCATCATTTCCGTGCAATACCTTAATGTCATCCAACTAGTACGGAAACTGCATTACTACACTGCATGATGCAGTGTGTCCGAAACCACCACGTGTTGGGCTCCACAGTGCGATGCCCAGGCATATGCACCCGTCGCTTATATATCACCCAATGCATAACTCTCTAGTGGGACGATGGGATATACCGTGTCAGGAGAGTGAGCTCAGAGCAAACATTCTGGTGGCTGCATCGAGCGGATTATTTGACACGGTACAGAGTTACGGTTCACACGCTCAGATCTGGCGTACCGGAACGGATTGTTGCTCCCCACATCTCCTTCCCTACGTTCCAGGAGCCATTCCATTGGATTCGGATATTCAATTCGATACCCTGAGTCATTTGATGCCGTGGTGGTAGTTTCCTGCAATTTCAAACTGAGACCCAAAGTGATACCCGACGATTACAGATGGAATGGGTTCCTGTTGATGTTAGTATTGTTACACACTGGTGTTTAAAAAGACAAGAAGCAGATTGATTCATAAGGAATAAATTATAAATTTCAAGGCAAAATGTCTAGGCTTTTTTAAAGAAGAAATTATTAAATCATCTGCTTATGATATCAAAAAAAAAAATCTCATGTGTACACCACATGACTTCCTTGTAAGGAATATTAAATTATAAGCATTTTTTCTTGCATTTCATTTAAACTTATTGGATTGAATTAAGTTCTACTTGACCGACAGCGCATAAATCACAATAGAATAAGTGCATTCTTTAAAATTCCCTATATTTGTTTACCATAGCGACACTCTGGCGCTAGGTTCACTTAACAGTATTATATTTCGTTCACATTATAACTCAGAATGCACAAAACTTATATCATTTAAAGAATTATCTAATCGTTGTCACATGTTCTATTCAAATACTATAATAAAGCTAGAACGATGATGTATAAAAGAAATTAAGCAAACAAAACAAAAAAGAAACAGTTTTTCACAGACGATTGAGTATTTTTCATTCAATTAATTCAGTTCTCACTTCGCGACAAGGCAAAAATACATAAAAACTCAAACTATATGTATTACAAATTACGAATTAAATCTTAAACACGCATTTCCTCGAAAAAATTCCAGGTTAGGATTAAGCATGATTTAATTCGCAATAATAAATGAAGGCGTTATCTTTGTTGTTGCGAAGCTATGTTTCTCTAGATTGGCAACAAATCCACTATTCTGCTGTTTCAAATGTAAACAAATATATCCACCATGTTATTTAAAAATTAGGCTTACCGCACTTAAACAGTTGTTGATAATTCTACAAATATTGCTTGCGCATTTCCTAAAGGCATAAAAACCTTAACCGAAAGATAAGAACAACATAATTCAATCCTTTTTAAAGCAAAAAACATATAAGAAGTAAAACATATAAGAAGTAAACATATAAGAGTAAAGAAACGGAGATTACTGAGCCGGGTAACAGAGTGGATATATATATATATAAATATATTTATATACGTTTGGTGCGGTCGATTGCAACCAAAATACGAGGTGCACATCTACATGTTATAGCAGTCCTATATACAAAATTTCAACGTTCTGAGGCTACTCATTTTTGAGTTATGCGAGATACGTACGTACATACGTTCGTACAGACGTCACGAAAAATTCTCATGAGAATTCATTTTAAAGCAGTTTTATAATTTTTTTGGAGGAAAAGTTTTATAATTTTTTTATTCTGTCCTTACGTTACGTCCTTACGTTCCAGATATCACGCAAAAACATCGTTAAATTTCGTTTGATAGCGGTCAAAATGGATATTTTCGTTGAAATATGCTGCCTGAAACTTTTTGCAATTACTATACTTCCTTTTTACTTCATACAAGGAAGTAAAAACAGTACTCTTTTCATTTTTAAAAAGCTGTTTAAACCTAATCCTTTTTAAATAGTGTTTACAGATACAAAGCATTCTTCGATCACTCACCTCCCCCCAGATTAAATCTTTATGGAGGCATCAAAGTACAATAATTATCAAGAAGGTACTTTCCTCACGAGATATCATGATCACCTGGGCATAACAGGAAACACATCTCAGTTTTACTTTCTTGTACGAAGTAAAGGAAGTATTGAAATCACGAAAAATTCCGAGTATCATATTTCAACGAAAATATCCATTTTGACCTCTATCGAATGCAATTTAGCGATTTTTTTGCTTGACATCTGTACATAAGGACAGAATAAAGGACTCTTTTTCTAAAAGAATTATAAAATTGATTTAAAATGGATTCTGAAGACATTTTTTGTGACGTCTGTTCGTATGTATGTATGTATCTCGCATAACTCAAAAACGAGTAGCCTCAGAAAGTTGAAATTTTGTATGTAGGACTGTTATAGCATGTAGTTGTGCACCTCCCTTTTCAGTTGCAATCGGCATCACCAAAAGTATACCCAGTCTGTTACTCGCCTCAGTGAGCTCAGTTTATTTTATTCTTATATGTTGATAAATTATGCATTTTTTGCTTTAAAGAATGAGTGAATTAGGTTGTTCCTATGCCTTTACTTAATGTGCATACAATAGTTGTAGAATTATCAATAATTGAAAAGTGTTTTAAGTGCGGCTAAGCCCCCCCCCTTTTTTTTTTTTTTTTTTTTTTTTTTTAACCATACCAGCTATATTTGTTTTCATTTGAAACTTAGCAGAATAGCGAATTAAGTCTTTCTGCACCTTCAGTTTCTTTTTGCCGAGTGAGACAAAGTAAACAGATTTGTGCACCGAAAAATCTGCCTTTTTGGCCTGCTGGCCGAATTGCTTATTTTTGAGTATAAACTGCAATTTTAATCATTTTTTTTTAATTGTTTTAACTGCATTTCGTGTTTTATGGTTTCCAATATCTTTCAACTTTTAATGGAGATATTTTATTTATTTTTGCCTTGGCGGGAAGTGAGAATTGAATTAATTGAATGAGAAATATAT